TATTATTATTATTAATATTAAAAGAGAACGGAAAAATAGACAAAAATAGAAAAAAATAGACGAAAATAGTATTTTGTTTTTTTTCTTTTTATTATATATTTTTCTATGTTGAAATTATCTTCTGCAGATTTTCTTTTTCCTTTTTGGTAACGAACAAACTCTATGATCAATCTTATTATTATTATTATTAATATTAAAGGAGACCGTGAAAAATAGACAAAAATAGATAAAAATATTATTTTGTTATTTCATTTTTTCTTTTTCTTTCTATTTTATATATTTCTACGTTGAAATTATTTTTCGCAGATTTATTATTTATATTTAACATAAGATGAATACACTATCGCGATTGATGAATTAATAATTATTAATATTATTTTGTTTAATAATAATTGATTTGGATTGAATATAATGGGGGGAAAAGAGGGGTAGGGGGGGAATGATTTCAATTCGAATAAAATCATATTTTTCATTTATCATTTGTTAAAAGATGATTTGTTTTTTTATCTTTTTCCAGATGCGATATCTATACGATATTACAATTAATAAGTTGCGGATTTTTATTGATAACGTTGGTGGTTTACGCTTGTCTACCGGTTCTTCAAAATCTTCATGGGAAAACTCTGATGTGCCATGTAGCCAGTCTCTTTTCTGCTTATTTTTGTCTGACTATAATTAATTGGATAACCCCAAAGAGGAACATTGCAGCATCTGTATCTGCAATATCGTGCAAAGTTTTAGGTATGTTAAATTCTTTTAAAACTTGCTTACTTGCTTGTTTGTTTACTTTCTTTTTCTTTTACAAGAAGTGCAGTTCAAAGATTTTATCGAATAAAATAATAATAATAATGAATAATCAATTCTATGGAATAATTAAAATAATGTTAGAATATTTTATTAATTGTACGCGTGTATGTGTGAAATCACATTTAAAGATAATAGTTTTTTTTTCTTTCTTTTTTTTATGTTATTTAGTAAACGAAAAGATTAATATATATATATATAAGAAAAATAATAAAGTATTTTTTAATGAAAGTAAGAAAAAAGTGGAGAATAACTGTAATTAATCTTTTTAATTTGATGAAACGTTGATTTTTTGTTATTGTTCAGCTAGCCTAGCATAGCTATTCATCTTATGGTGCAACATAGAATTTAAAGATCTTTTTTATTTTCTTTCTCGATAACCTTTTCGAACTAATACCATCCTATTTTTCGGTTTTTGCAGGTTACGCTATGCTATTTTCCTTTCTCTCAGCTTTTTCTTGGCTCAACGTCATGTGCTTCGACATATGGTGGACTTTCGGGTAAGAAATCGCTTTCGATAAGTCACTCTTCTTCTTCTTCTTCTTCTTCTTCTTCTTCTTCTTCTTTTTCTTCTTTTCTCTGATGTTTTAAATCGATAAGAATTATATTAGATGCCCGTATTTCTTTCTTTCTCTTTCTTTAATCTTACATTAAATTTTCTTTTCTTACGTTTAGTTTTTTTTTCCATTTGTTTTATATATAATAATT